GAAAACGAGTCGTATAAAAAAAATCGTCAATTCACCGTTGTCAGTATCAAGCGAATGTCCTCGAACATCTTCATCTTCAACGTCAAATTCGCTATGGGAAAATTTTCAAGCTTACGTTGAACTGTCCATTCGTTAACACGTTCGTGGCCTATAGTTATTTAATGTTTCAGACTGTTTGCGATTTGTACGTCCGAGTTTGAATTCGTAGAAATAGACTTGTCGAAACTGTCATTTAGACATCCGAAATTCTAACCTTTGGGATTTCTCAAGAACGCGATTTACTCCATAAGTGAATTATATAAGGCGAAAATGCGTAAAGTATAATTTGCATTGATAGAGAGTAGTATACCATTCGGAGAGAAATGTTGCTAAATCGTGTACAAGGAAGGAGTTGTACATCGGGCATTAATTTCGGAACATCTTAATATAATAGTCAAACGAAAGTTGTTCAAAACAGATCAGGGAATTTGACACTAGATGTCTTTCTATTCGTCCAAAGAGCCTTAAAGGCACGTAAGCTATAATCTCAAGTAATATCATAGATTTTTACTCGCAATGTTATTCCTAGAACTATCCCCAAATAGACCCACAATGATACCAAGTTATTTGTAAAGCTTGGGCTCGAGGCCATATTCGAACCCACGGCTATCCCTTCCGGGAGCTCAGCTTTTACATGCTGCACCCTGAGATCCTTGATTTGCCTTTCTTTCAGCCAGTTTTTCTACTCTAGTCGTGCCATGAGCGATCATCCGTCAACGGGAATGATTTGAAGAGCACAAATTGGCAATGAACCCACTTAAGCTGAGGCTGCAGTCGAAATCACTAATGTCAGATTTTTTATCTATTGCCTATTATTTTTCACAACAGAGTGTTATGTTAAAAACAACCAAAATGATGCTAAGTTATTTGCAAAACGTGGACCCCAGGCCACATTCGAACCCTCGCCTACTCAGCATCATTGTGGTTGTGTTTGACATAATGTCGTGCCGTGGAAAATAATAGGTAGTAGATAAAAATCTAAGCATTTGTTCCTAAATACTACTAGATGAATATGTTAAATGCTATATTGGAAGCAGAAGACAATTTTGAACACGTTAAGCCAATAATTTTATTATGTAATTCGTATTCTTACACGGATCTCCCTCATATGAGGGATCCCGAACCGGTTAGTGGCAAGGCTACGTGGCGCGTCCCCACCTGGCGGATAGGGGGTTAATCGCTGACCAAAAGCGGCCTTTGCTTCCCTGAGACGCGGGTGGATTCATGGGATGGACTCCCTGTTTCTACTGCGCTGATTTGCCAGATGCTTTCTGTATTTGCTAGGCGTATTCATGCGTGCGTGTGTGGGTGCGTTCTCGCTTATGCGGATTGTATTCTACGAATCAATTCGGTCAAAAGCCTACAATCAAGTGACATGGAAGTATATGGGTGGTGATTAGGAGTTGCCTCCAACAAATAAGCTCCATGTCCACACTGGAAGAGCCTGGATAGCTACCCGTTAGTATACCCAGTCCCCACATTGACAGCCCAGCAAGCTATACGTGGGTATCAAAATACTAAGTAGAGTAAAAAAAAACGAACCTCTTTCCCCTGACCCCGAAAGAGTCCCAATTTCGCAGCGTTGGGTAGGACGAGTACGGAGAGGATGGTGACATCTCAGGGCAATTTTAGGCTGACTTAATTAGTGAGCGAACAAGATGACAATCTGAACCTACAATGCACGTACACATGCATCCAAGTTCTAGATAGAAGACTTGCTCATGCAAGCAAGAAGGATAAAGTACGACGTCATCGGCCGAGACGAGACGACGCCACCCATTCAACGCCGTCTATGACAACCGGATAAGAACTGTTCCTCGGGACATGCGACAGTAGAGGAGTCGGCAGCGTCGGCGTTCTCGTTAACACGAGTTTCTCCATGAACATCGATTCATTCGAACAACCTGCAACCCGAATCGGACGTTTACAAATAAAAAGATGTGGATCAATACCGGTTTTGACAATCCTCGTTGTTTACGCGCCGACAAACTATGACGAAGAAGAAGTCGAAGCGTTTTATATGGACTTTGAGAAGTTCTACAGAGAGGATCACACATTCTTTAAGATCACCATTGGAGATTTCAACACCAAGAATGAACCAAGAAGAACGTCTGAAGAATGTCACATTGGAATCCACGGATTAGAATGGAGGAACAAGGTGAGCGGCTATCTGAGTTTACCATGACGACCAAGACAATCCATAGCAACTCACAATTCCAAAAACCTCATCCTCAGTACTGGACGTGAGAGTCTCGCAATGGAGAGTGCCATAATGAAATAGACCACATCATAGTAAATAAAAGGTTTTGCCTAACCGATGTCGCTGTTGTTCCAAAATTCTACACGTGATCAGACCATCGCATCCTTCAAGCAAGATTCTATTTCTCGCGGAAAGGAGAAAAGACCGCTAAATTCAAAAACCGAAGTCCCGGAACCACCGTAAACTAGGACTTATTCTATTCATTAGTCGGCTACTGTAAAGATGCCGTTGTCGATAACATCGATGAAGAATACGATCGGCTCATTCAACATCTCCACGTTAGCGCCATGAAAGCTGAGAGTTCGAAAGTCACCAAGAGACGCCTGTCTCCAGAAACACTAGCTGATACACCACCGTGGAATCGCACGAGCTGCAGGCAAACGCCAACTCACGTCCGAACTTGTGAAACAATGCAGATAGGCGATAAAAGAAGATCTTAAAAAGAGAAGAGCAGTAGTAATGGTCGAAGATGCAGAAGCTGGGAAAAGCATTAGCAAAACCTACTGACGTTTCACCAATGATAAATCCAGGATGATTGCACTCCGACGGCCAGGCCGAATAGTTACAGCGTCCAGAGAGGCAATGGAGTAAATCATTCACGAATACTACTCAGATTTATTCAATAGCCACGTCCTCCTTACCTCATATGAAATAAAAGAAGATCGATATGTCACATCACGGGTTCTCCTTCCGAAATCTGACGTGCTATTTCATCGGTGAAAAATCGAACAGCACCAGGTCCAGGAAAGATAAGATCTGAACACTTGGAGAACCTTCCGCCAGTCCTCATCGCCACACTGGCTCGGGTCTTCACACGTTACCTGTCTGAATGCAAGGTCCCTACTCAATGGAAGACCAGCAAGACCGTGTTATTGTTCAAGAAGGGTGACCAACACGATATCGGCAACTATCGCCCAATCTGCTTATTGTTTGTTGTCTACAAACTTTTCACTCGAGTCATCCTAAACAGGATTGTGAGAACACTGGACGAAGGACAGCCATGTGAGCAAGAAGGGATTCGAAAGGGATTTAGTAAGATGGACCACATCCACACGGTAACAAGGCTCATTGACGTATCGCGAGAGTACGAAAAACTGCTCTGGCTCACTTTCATCGATTTACATAAGGCCTTTGATTCAGTCAGGATAGAAGCAGTCTTTGAAGCTCTTGATAGTCAAGGAGCCCCTGCTCAGTGTATATTCTTCGTGAAGTGTACAAAGATTTCACAAGCAAGATATCACCATTCTACAACGATATTATCATTGATGTGAAAAGAGGGTTTAGGCAAGACGACACCATCTCCCCAAAATTATTTACCGCTACTCTCCAGAACGTGATGGGAACATTGGAATGGGATAATATGAGAGTGAAAATCGATGGTCACCATCTCCGTTTTGCTGGTGACATAGTCCTTATAACACCAAACATTAGCCTAGCGGAACGTATGCTTGCCGACTTTGACAAACTCTGTGGAAAGATTGGTCTTCGACTAAGTCTTACAAATCGACATTTATGAGAAGCGGATTGGTTTGGTATGTCCCATTCACGCTCAGTGGAACAAATATCTCCGAATGCTCCAGTAATGTCTATCTAGGTCGGGAAATGAATATATTGAACGATTTAGCTCCAGAGCTGAGCAGAAGGAAACGAGCGGCTTGGATAGCGTTCAAGAGCATCGAGGATCTAGTGAAGAGAACAAAACACGTGACTCTGTACCCAGCTTTTCGACTCAACGGTGCTTCCTACCTTAACGTCTGCGTCAGGAACGTGACCACTACGTAAGCAGGATGAAGATCACTCAGCGTTATTAAACACGCAATGAAAAGAACGATGCTAGGAGTATCCCGTTTCACACAAGTAAAGGATGGGATCCGATGCTCCGATCTGTGTCAACGATCAAAAGTCAAAGATGCCGTTCTGTACGCCAAACAGTTGAAGATAAGGTGGGCCGGACACGTAATGCGTATGAATGACAACCGAAGGACAAGAGCCATTAGTGACTGGATTCTTCGAGGTGTCAAGTGTACTGCAGGAAGACCATCGATCCGATGATCACAGCTCTTCACAAAGAGCCTTGAGGAAAGATATGATGCTCGACGAGCCTAGAGCGAACAGAACTCACTGGACTACTCTTAGAGGCGACAGGGAAAAATGGAAGATTTAGTGGCGTCCGCTCGATTCACTCGACGATCAACGGGACTGCAGGTGACAGGTGAATTTGTATCCTTAGTTATTTCTTTGACAAGAGTTCTGGTTGACAATTCCCACTCGGAAAACCTTATTTGAAGGTAGGCGTGTAAAATTCGTAGCACATTTCGTATATATAAAGTAGTGTCTTCTTTCATTCCAACTTTTCTAGGACATGGGTTCTCTTCACTTATGCGGTTTTTTGAATATTTAAGGTTTCGTTCCTCCTAACGGTTTACCGCCTCATCGTGGTTAGGTAGTGTTCATGGGTGTTGGACTACGATGTACAGTGGGTGGATCTCCCAGGCAATGTCTCCCAAGCTGGGAAGGAGTCCGGCGTTTCCATCAGGAACTCCAGCTCAAAGCAGTAGTAGGATCCACCACCATCCTAGTATCAAACTAGTTGCATGGTAATAAATCTCCATCTGATCCACAAGGACGGCGACTGCCTATGGTAGTGACGACCTGGGGCAGACAGCCAGGCCGACCTCGGGGCTCCAGGGAACCACAATGGCTAAACCAGCAAATTTCCGATGAATGGGAATTGTGCTCGGGTCCGCACAACCAGTGAAGATGTGTCATCCAAGTATCCAAGTAAATTTTCACTACGTTTTCACTTAAGTGATAATCTCTTCCGTCCGCTTATTTTGTCAGTGAGTTGAATTAGCTGTAGTGTTGCGATGATTAGTTCCAAAAAGTGTGTGTACTAGAAAAGCTAGTCGCTCCTTAGTTTCTAAGTATCTTCTGTAATAAGGAATAGGAAGGTTAAAACTCACATTCCTAGGAAAGATGTTCCAGATGAATAAACAGAGTGTGATGCCGAGTACATGGAGAAAAATAGAAATGATTACGTGTGTGGTATAGGGTAGTGTAATGAACATTGCTGCGGATTTCTTCCAGTGGTGTGCTCGAAGGCGTTTCACTTTCCGCAGGTCATCCTCACGGCCGTCGCCTGATTCTCCTTCGACATACACTGTTTCGTCCTTTCCCATTGATCCCATCTACAAAATCGGTCGCGTTCGCCAAATCTGTTGCGAAAGATCCTTCATGCGAACTGCATCATCATTTACCAAGAAAAAACAGTCTTATTAAGAAATGAGGCGCCAGCCAACTATTTCGGATCCAGCTTCAGCTTAACTGGGTTTAACGTCGATTTGTGCTTCCTAGATCATTCCCTTTGACGGGTGTGATTGCTGATGGCACCGATAGAGTAAAAACATGATAGAGAGAAATGCACAGCAAGAACCTCGGTTAGTGTGGTGGATAGTACGTGATCCCCAGATAAGAATCACGCTGGTTCGAAGCCCATCTGAGGTTCCGAGTTCTGGTCATATCTATTGCAGTTGCTAGGGAGGGATCGAAATATTTACGTACTACGACATTTGCTAGGCAACTTGAGAAACAGTGGATATGATCCTTAATACTGAAACATACAGTAGTAGAAAGATACAAATATATAGAAAGAAATAGAAACTTCTGGGAATAGTTGCTATACTCCCCACCCCCACATAAAATTGTTGATCTGAATTTGAAGAACTTGACATGCGAATTCTACTTAATGCTATAAAACCATTAATGAGGTAATCATACAGTGATTTCTAGTAGGAGAGTATTAAGTAGGTATTAAGTAGAGAGACAAAGAGAGAGAGATGAGAAGGAGAGAATGACTGTAAGCGTGTGCCATTCCCTGGGAGAGTTCTACACATCTGACGTAATCGAAGAAAGGGTGGATGCGAGCTTCATCCTAGTTGGATTCTTGTCCTCTCTTCTGTTTGTTAGACTCGGATCGTTGCGATTACTTGAATATTACTATGACAGAATAAGTAGTAGGTGGTGATGATGTCTAGGAATAGTGAGATGCGTGTATAAGAATACAGTAGCGCAAATAGTGAATATTATTCGTATGAGTCGATGGTATTATTAGACAGTAGTTGGTAGGTAGGGCTGTCGAGTTAGGATTAGAATGGTCATCATTATACGTTAGAAATTGTTGGAGCTCGTAAATAGCAGAGCCCGTTCCATGTTTGTTATTGTCATGATTAAGGAAATGTTCATCATTAGACTCTGATGACTGAACTGAGTGAACGGTGCGAGTATGTGATCGTGGTCGTAAGTTATGACGTTCTCTCGATTTTTCGTCTAGCTTATCTTTGTTCTTGATGTCGTGACCCGGAGCCGTATTCGTCCCGTTGTCGACATTTGGAGACTCATTTGGTTGGGTGTTTCCCAGTTCTAAGGGTATAAGTAAATTAACAGGTCTTCTGATGATTCGTCCGTTTGGTAGCTTGACGTGTGCTTCTCGTATGGCTCCACTCTCTGATGGTTGGAGTTTTACGATACGGCCCATTCTCCAGGTATTTCGAGGTAGAACTGGTTCGTAAATTAGTACCACTGTGCCAATCGTTGGAGGGATAGTAGTGCTTCTTTTTTATCAAAACTAAGCACATTTGTTTCCCGGAGGCTTTTAAGGTACTGTTGGCTCCAAATGGTCCAATACTGTTCCGTTAATTTGTGACTTGATGTCAGAGCTGCTATCGCTTGCTGTCTGGTGCGCAACAAACCTAGTTCGTATGGAGGAATATAATCTTCGTCTTTTTGGAGACTTGTGAAGTCGAGTGGATAGGTTAATATTATATCTCGTTGGACGAAATTGATTGGCTGCAAGATTACTAGATCATCAGGTTTTTCCTCGATGTACGTGAGCGGTCTGTTATTTAGGCATCCTTTGATCTCTACCAAAAGAGTTGTTAATTGTGACGTTGCTGGAATGGTCTTTTGCAACACTTTATAAAGAGAATGTTTCACTGACTTTATAAGGCGCTCATAAAATGCCCCCTGCCACGGAGCATAAGGTGTTATTGTTCTCCATGTGATTGCTCTGGTTGCCAATGTTTTCGTAAACGAGGTATCGTTGGTTATTGGAGCAATAGTAGTTCGTAAGATTTGTTCCGCCAGAGTGAAGTTCGGTGCGTTATCGGACGTGATAGTGTTTGGTACACCCCTTCTAGCATTCTTTAATCGACGAAGTGCTAACAGGAGTTCGTCAACTGTCATATTTTGAACTAATTCTAGGTGTAGCAGTCTTGTGGCTGTACACGTAAGAATAATTCCGTAGCCTTTCACTATATCATCTGCATTTTTCATTGACAATGGCCCGAAGTAATCTATCCCAAGATGTTCAAATGGTCGTGATCTTACTACCCTTCTCTTCGGTAGGTCGTCCATTGTTGGATACTTATAAGGCAAGTTGTTCATTTTTTGACATGCAACGCATCGCCTTATAGCTTTCCTTGATAAAGGTCGTATTGTTGCGATCCAGAATCGTTTTCTAACATTTGCCATTGTTTGGCTGGTGCTACAGTGAAATGGTAAATGTGCGTCGCTTACTATAATTTCGGCTAAGCTTGTTTTTGCTCGTATGAGTATTGGTTGTCGTTCATCGAAGGGAATGTTTGCTTTATTTAGGCGTCCTTTACCGCGAAAAATTCCGTGTTGATGTTTAACGATACTATAGGGATGAAGGAATCTTTTTGCCATCCCGAGATAGGTGTTTCGTTGGTGATTTCGTATGATCACCCTTAGTGCCGCTTCGTATTCGACTACCGTAATATATGATTGCGAGGATGCTAACTCGATCTCTGGAATATTGCGACGAATTCTTTCGCGTAATTGAGATTTCAATTTCGCTGTCACTTTATTAAGGAATCTCAGTACATATACCACTGCGTTTTGCGCCGTTATTAGTCGATTATGTCCTGACCAATCCAGCAATTCTAGAACCCGTTGGTCAAAAGTCGTCATTACCGTAGAATTGGACTTTATTTTCACACTTTGTGGTATCGCAAAGGGCTTGATTTCTATTGGCAAATCTGAGTCTCTAATGAGATCGGGTCCTATCCACCAACAACGGCTCTTTAACTGAGACATACTTAATCCCCTCGTTGCACAATCGGCCGGATTTTGATCTATAGGCACGTGGGCAAATTGAATGAGATTTTGCAAAGCCTTATCTATTCGACGTATTTCCCTGATGCGGTTTTTTGCTAGTACTCCCACTGATGTTCCTAAATTTGGTGATTGTATCCAACTTAGTGCAATTTCAGAGTCAGACATAATTAGTACTATTTGAATAGATACGTGGTTTTTTAAAGCTGTATGTATTGAGTGGGCTAGACGGACTGCCATAGTTATGGCATTTAACTCAAGCTTTGGAATAGTGGTAACGTGGTTGATTGACTGTAGTTTGGATTTTCCCATAAGGAGAAACGAATTGTTATTTGATACTAAGTAGACGCAAGTTGCCATACATTCTTTGCTGGCGTCCGCAAAGAGGATTAGTTTGGCTTCATGTCCGAGTTCGGCAACACATCGTGGGATAGAGATTTCAAATCCATTTAGATTTCTGACAATTTTTTCCCATTCGTCGGCATGTAGTTTTGAGAGCGGTGTGTCCCACGTATAATCGAAGTTCCAAAGTTTTTGAAGAAATTGTTTTCCTCGTATTGTTAGTGGTGTGAGCCATCCTAGGGGATCGTAAATTGCTGCTACCTGTTCTGCTACTGAACGCTTCTTCAGCTTTGATTTGCATGAATATTTGCATGAGAGAAGTAGTTTATCGCTTTCCGAATCCCATGCTATTCCTAGGACCTTTTGTTGGTTGCTTGATGCCAAGTCCTTCGAGGGGATCTGGCGAATCAGTTGTTTATTGTTTGACATAAATTCTCGTAAATTCTTGCCTAAATCTTTGAAAATTTGCTTTGATTGCTTAACCTTGGCTATGACCTCTTCTAATAACGAACTTGTGATGATAACGTTATCGACATATGTATTGTTCGTAAGTTCATGGGCCAACGCTGCACTGGACACTTGGGTCTCTAAGTGATGCTTAATTGTTCCTGCTAGTAGGAATGGTGAACAATTGAGGCCAAAAGTTACCCGTGTGAATCTGTAGGTAACTATGTTTTTTGGCTCGCAAAGTTGTGAGATGTCACGAATCCATAGAAATCGTGTAGCATCTCTATCTTGCTCGTGGAGTCGTACTTGCAAGAATGCTTTCTCTACGTCCGCAATCATTGCAATATTTCCTACGCGAAAACGAAGTAGAATATCGCATATTCGAGGAAGAAAGACTGGCCCTTGGTGGAGAACGTCATTTAATGACGGCTGTAGTACTGGATGCGCGGATGCATCTTAAACGATTCGTAATTTTGTGGTTTCCTTATGTGGAGTTACCACGGCGTGATGCGGTAGATAGTGAATAATTACACCTTGTTGACGTATTGATTGATCGACTTCCTCAATAATGTTTTCATTTAGTTGCTGTAGTATCGTTTCGTTATATTTTTCTAGTAGGGGAGGATTTTTCGTCAGTGTGTCGATTGTCCCCTGCAATCGCCGAAATGCCATGCATTTGTTCTCAGGGAGTGTAGTTGAGTTGTTTTTCCACGGAAGTCTCACATAGTAACTATCGTCACGTCTCTCTATCGTTTTCGCAAACTGTTCCCAAATTTCAGCATTTTGCTGCCTTTGTTCTTCTATTTTCGATCCCGTAAATTCGTTAATTCCTGATGATTCTAGTGCGCAAAAATCTTCCCATGATTGTTGTCCATAAGGTTGAGGGTTGGGTACTGTAGTCTCTGTGACAAGGAGTGTACTTTCTTGCGATTTAATGTACCGCTTATGGTTGGCTCCTACTACTAGATAACCCAGTTTAGAGGTAGAGGCTTGGTGATGGTCTCGATCCTGGTTATTGTGGTTTCATATTGTGTTCCATAGACATCCCACAATTTTACTGTGGTAATTGCACAGTTATTTTTCACCTCGTTAAGAGCTGCGAACGTGTTAATGGATAATTCTACAGAATCAATATTTCGTAAATGAAGACGTTCAGCCAATTCGTTGGTGATAAATGAGCGATCGGATCCTGTATCTAGCAAGAGAGCTACTGGTTCCTTTGTCTGACTGAATGGGTTGAAGATCTGCGCTTGTCCTGCCAAAACTTGGACACTCGTTGTGTCTTCTTTCATTGCGTAGAGTATGGCCGTATCATTCTGATAGTTTTGTTGGGATTCCACTGCATTGATTCGTGATTGCGTAGTCTTCTTGCCTTTCGTAGTGTTGACAGGCCCTTTTCGTTTGTCGCTTTGGTCTACTTCTGACTGATTAAGCTGTTCTCTTAAAGCTTGTTGGCGCTTACAAATGGACGTGTGATGTCCACGTTTACTGCATACTCGGCAGCACCCGCCTTTGCAAGCCGATGTTTGGTGAAACTTTGATCAGAGTTAAAGCAAAGATTCCGACCTTTCATAATCTGTACTCTTTCTTCATATGTTCGCACTTTTTTGCAGTCAATTGGGAAATGTCCTTGTGTTTCACAATAGAAACATGGATATATTTTGCTCGCATACACGCGGGTTTGAGGCGCGAAAGGTTGCTGTAGGGATCTATTTCCAGTACCTCTCAAGTCTGATGTGACACTGATGTTTCTGCACAGCTGTTGTTGTATCCTGAGCTTCCTGCTTATATATTCATTGATAGATTTTAAAAAATCTTCGGTCTTGTATGTTTTATCGGATTCTCGAGTTCTTTGATCCAGTACGTGTCTTTGGATATCTCTCGTAAATTTCGTAAGAAGTTGATTTTGCAGGTACATGGTGTCTATAAATCCACCATTGTGTGCCAATTGGCTGATTACGGAAAACGAACGCTCGCACAATGTCTGCTGATCTTCAAGGCGGTCGCTGTTCGCTTTGGTCGTCTGAACCCTGTTGAGTAATTCGTCCAGTAGATCTTGTTTGTTAGCGTACTTCTGCTTTAGATAAGTGATAACCATCTGGTAGGATTCTCGTGTTATTCTGTATTGATTGACGAAAGCTTTTGCTTTTCCTTCAAGAGAATCTAATAGGTAATTCATTTTCAAGAATTCGTCCATTTTTTGTGAGTGCACTGAGTGGTTGAACGCTTCCCAAAAGGTGTATCACTCCCATAGTTTTCCGCTGAATTTTGGAATAGGTATAGGTGGGAGCTTTACTGCTGGAGGACTGAAATTTGTACTACCCGAAACGTTGTTCTTTGCATCTTCTAAAGTGCTTTAGCTTGAAGAACTTGAAGAGATAGCGTGTCGCTCTATCTAGTAGCTCAAGTGTTTTCTCGGTGTTTGCATTAATTCTCTCACGTGCATCCTCTACTAATGGGATGTTAGGATCAATATGATCCGCTTCTTCACTATACTTATCGAATGCTATCTGGACGTTTTCCATTTCAAACTGAATGGCGAATATTCCATCCATGATGCTTTTTATTAGCGTATTGACGTAGGAAATGCGGTCGACTTCATCATAGGGAAGC